AGGTCACAGCTAGGACCCTGGTGGAGGAACTGAGCAAAATCAGGCTGGCTCCTAGGACACCCACCACACCCTTCTCCCATACGATGGACATCCGGTCTTCTACACCGTTCACCCCATTGGGAATCTTGGTAAAGTCGTCCTTCCCGAGAGCCTTCTGGCAGGTGTTAAAGGTGCAGTGGTCAGTAGCTGTTGTGGTCAGATCATCGCTGGAAAGAGGAGAAAAGAGGCAACCATGAGAGTTGAGTGCGTCAGCTTGGAAACCTCTATAATAGTCCTTATCTCTTGAGCGCTTCCCTACCAAGAGTCAGAAGAACACAATGGAGAATGAGGAGCGTGCCCACTTCCTCCTTCTGTCTTTAGTCTGAGACACACTGCCACAGAGCACACTTGTGAGAAGCACGGGGCAAGCTCTGGGTTCTAGGCTCAGCTCTCCATTGCTTGGTTCTGTAATTATGAACGCCTCCCTTTTAGACCCTGGTGGTTGAGTGTGTCTACTGATGATGACGTCGGGGTCCCTAGGAAGACTGTGAGTGACAAATCCTTGTGAGTAGAGTTCCGCACAAGATCCCACCACGGTGACCTCCAAGGCAAACTGCCAGCGGTGACCAACACAGGTGTGTGACACACGGGGACAGGGGCCTGCTCTGGCTGTGGGCAACCTTGGGGATGTGGAAGCGTGAAGGGAGGTGAGGGAAAGGGACAAGTAAACACTTGGGTGGTCTGGGTCAGAAGCACCTGGCTGAGTTGGCCCTGAGGGTCTCGAGGGCTCCTGCACGGTGTATTCTCAAGGACAAGGAGCACCCACCCCCAGAGAGCGAGCTGTCTGTGCATCAGCCCAGTTTCCGGATTCTGTCAGCAGAAGAACAAGCACGAGAATACTCGGGTAGAAACAGGGCACTGGGGCTGGGTGTGTGGCTCGGTGGTGGGTGCTTGCTCTGCTTGTGGGAGGCCCTGGGTTCAATGGGCTGTACAAACGCCAAACAGGAAAAGCAAACAAAAAGGGCCTATTGAAGAGTCTGGGCTCTGGGAGATGAGAGGGGAAAAAGCAGAAAAGAATAGAATTTCAGTACAAATGATCGGACGGGAGGCTCTGACGCATCACAACATGAGGAAAGCGGTGCTCTTTGCTCTCCAGGGGCGCAGGGGCCGGCACCATCAGGTTGGGGGGAACAGAACAGGAGGGTCACGAACGACCTGGGACAGGCTCTCCTCCACCCAACCCAGAGACTCGGAGACATCTTTTGCAAAACACGTCAGGATTACTTAGCCAGCAGGTTCATAAGGAAGCCCGGCGTGGAAGGGTCTGGTCTCAGGGGCGGGCTCATGACGTGGTGGGCCGCGTGGTGCCACTCCTTACTCCAGTAGTGCGTGCCGTCGGTGCCCAGGCTTGCTGCGATGGGCTCTCCGTAGACCACCTTCCCTGGGAAGGGCAAAGGAAGCAATCAGTGCCTTCATTCGCTCTCAGGAGAACCACCTGACACACACAGCCTCCGCCTTCTCTGTCCTAGCAGAGGAAAAGAGTTACAGCTTAGAATCTCAGACTATAGTCAGTCTGTGTGCAGAACTGAAAAGAAACAAGTAGTGATTATGGTGCACCTGCTGCGTCCCAGCCAGTGCACACCTCGCAGTGTGTAGACGGTCCTACCCCACTGCCTGGCATCGGGCTTGGCCACCATGCATCTTGGGCAGTTAGTTCTGAGGGAGTGACCGTGCTGCTTCCAAGAAAAGCTGTGCATCTGGTCTTAGGGCTCTGCAAGGCCACCGGCCCCTGTCGGAGCAGGAGCAGAGCTACCCCGAGGTCAGCAAGACTGAGTGAGAAGCAGTCTCGCCCATCCCAGACCCACAGTTAGCTGCAGCACCCCGGAGAAGGCTGCAGATCCTGACATCGGGAAACCCTACCGGACCGATGCTGTCATTGCCATCACCGGATCCACGGGGTTGTGTGATCTCTCCACAGTTACTGCACACACGTGGAGCAGAGGAGGAGGGGTTGAGCCCAGGCGTTCAGATTCTGGCGGTCTGAGTGTTGGTGCTATGCTAGTCAGATGACAGTGACTCCTGTGGGTCACACGGAGTCCAGCTGCAGCACACCTCTGCTGCACACAGACTGATGACCTTTTCACACCCTTAAAAAGTACTCCTCAAGGGCTGGGGATTTAGCTCAGTGGCACAGCGTCTGCCTGGCAAGCACAAGGTCGTGAGTTTGATTCCTAGAACCGGAAAATAACCCCGAAAACTAAAAAAAAAAAAGAGTCTTAAAAAATACTCCTCAAAAACTTCTATTAAATAAAAGAACACCTGGATAATAAAATTATAGCCCAAAATGCATATTTTAAAAATCATGCAAATAAGCCCGTCAGAAGCACACACTGTTACAAAACTTAATAGTTCAGTGAATTTGAATTTAAAATCAGAGCCCTATGTCTGATTAGCATTTGTCAGAATAATAGATTCCCCAGCGTCAACCTCGTCCTATGCAAGCAATCAAAAAGCAAGTGCACAGAGAGGAAGCCGGCGTCTCAAATCAGTTCACTCTGGTTAACCAGGTGCCGAATTTTCATTACAATCCTGATGCATCGCTGACATTCACTGAGTCCCTGGGACAGCCCCGAGTGCAAGGGCCACCAGCTGCCCATGCTGCACTGAAGGGAGCCAGCACCCTGCTGTCTCACAGATCATTTCTCCCCAACACCAGCTCCCTTCCTCTAGCTAGCCTGGGAAACCCCAAAACCATGGAAGCCAGCTGCATATGGAGATTCCTCAAAAAACAGACACTAGAAACCGCACTTGACTCAGCTATTCCCCTCCTAAGCATCTTCCTGAAAGAGCTGAAGTCTTATTGAGAGATACGTGTACACCTGTGCTTACAGCAGCACAACGTGTAACAGCCAGACTTGGAAGCGGCCTCTGTCTCCACCAACAGATGAATGGATAAGAAAATGTGATATTTACACACAGTGGAGTACTACTCTGCCATAAAGAAGGACAAACTTGAGTCATTTGTAGGAAAATGGATGCACCTTGAGACCATAATGTCATGTAAAATACATCAGAGATGCAAGTTTAAGTATCACATGGTTTCTGTTATATGAGAAACCCAAGGTATAAATAAAGAGCAAAATGAAAGATAGATCATAGGAAGTAGGGAGAGAGATCTTTCTCAAATGGGAAGGGGATGGAGAGGTGGAGGGAACGGAGAGGGAAAGGATGAGGAGCGGTGGAGCTCCCCATCCGGTGGGAATTAAGATGTGTTATGTACACACGCCAACTGCATACAAGCGACGTAAACATCATGAACTGCACACAGGTACTTCTTACAAAAGCCAGCTTGCTGGGGTCTAAGACCTCCCTGGGTAACTCAACGGTCAAAGTGTGGTCAATGAGAGCGACGCCCAGGAACTTAGCCACGCTGGGCCCTCGGCTTCCACGAGGCGGACGCCTGCCCACGCCCCACTCTGGCTGTTCTCTTCCCAGACAGGGGAAGCACCACGCACATCTCTTCCTGGCACTGAGAAGAAGCAGCGATCGTGTCTGGAACTGAGAGGCAGCAAGACTTTGCAGAGAGAGCGAGGCAGACGCCTCTGTTTACCTCTGAGTACGACTTGCCGCTCCAAGACAGCTTCTCACAGACACGGGATGCTGAGAACTCCGAGGTCTCATTCTCAGCCCCTGTCTGAGGTGTCGACAGGATTTTCCGGTGGGTGCTTTATTCTGGAGGAGAGATCCTCGTCGCATGTTCTGCTCAGGCACTTGGCATGCCGTGCTGGCGATGTGGGAAGGCAGCTCCAGCACTTCCACCACTTTCACAGTGCTCAGGAAAAATTAAAAGTGTCAGTATCTACCGGCAGTCTGCCAGGCTGGTGTGAAAGCAGATGACAGGCAATTTCCCAGGGAGGGCTTAGCTCCTTTAAAATGTGACAGGTCACTTTTTTTGTATATTCAAGCTCTTTGTGAACTGGGTTATATTCAACTTTCTCCCTATGTGTGTCTACAAACACATAAAAATAAAAATTTCTAGCTGCTCTTTGCCCATTTCACAGTGGTGCTAAGACATTTTCAAAGGACCAGAAAGCTGCAAGACGTGAAGGGCAGGAGAATGGGGGACCCGGGTGGTCCACAAATTGGAGAATCAAGCTGGACCTGCGGGTTCTGATAGATTTGGGCTGAAAATAATGATGAAAGTAGCTCACAAAGGTACAGCCCTCTATAGCTAGCAAGGCTTTGCACATGACCTCTTCGACCTTGACAGCAGCCTGCAGTGTGATGGATGGAACTGATGTTCAAGGAGCAGAGCTCCCTTGCCCGAGACTATGCTGGTCGTCTGTGGTACAGCTGGAACTAAACCTCTTCTTGGACAGCAGATCCCACGCACTGCGTTATTAAGAAAACTGTCATCTTCACTTCTCGGTGCAGAGCATGTATTTTTAAATGTTTAAGTCAACTGCAAGCTATTTGCGGATGTGGTTGAGCGATTTTCCAGTTGCACGCACTGGTTTCATTTACTACGCATAACACGTTGGCAGTGGAAAGCACTGTAGCTGTCCTCAATCTGGGGCTCTTCTGATCAAATTTGCAAGCAGATGGCTCCGGCAACTCCGGGAGATAGAGACATCGTCATTACTCATGTCCTCCCACTGCTCAGAGAGTTCCGCAGAGCCCCGCCCTGCCTACCTGCCGCTCTTCTCACTTCTCTCTCCATTCTTTGGCTCAAAACCAAAAAAGAAAGCCAGTGCTTGGAATGCGACCTCCTACTTAGAAGGCATCCGCCCTCAGAGAGAAGCTAAAGAGTTCCACATAATGCAGTCTGCCAACCCTGCCGGAATGCTGCCCTTTCCCCAGCCCTTGGGTACAAGAGGACAGGGATGAGAGATGTGGGGGAGTGGCGGGAACCCAGGAGCAGTGTTTTACTGGGAAAGAAACAGAGAAGGCGTGGAAACATTGGCTGGGGAATGGGAAGCCAAAGTCACATAAAAACAAATTTTCCCAAGGGCAAAAATAGATTTTCCCAATAGGGCAAAATTTGCCTGGGCTCTGTTTAGAATCCAAATATTACACTTATGAAGGAGTAAAATGACTAAGAAGAAAAATGCAGGGAGCTAGCATGGGAGTGTGGATCATAGAGATTTAAGCTCATACAGATCATGCGACTTTTTAGCTTGGCACAGGATGAGTCAATGGTTTTTCTCACCTATGAGATGGGATCACAGTGTCCTTTTAATGTGGCAATTTTGTGAAGGTCAAATAAACTAATGTCTATGAAAGTAGGGTACTTAGCACATTCCTCCAACCCTGGAGTCACTTCAGGGTTGTGGGCTGGATCTTTTGCTCCCTGCCAAATTTCAGATGTTGAGCCCTCAGAACATATGGAATGATGTATGGAATGTCTGGGTAGCGGTACCAGAGGTGCAGTGAGGTGTATGGTGCCGCTAAGTTGGTAAGACTGGGGTCCTCACAGGAAAAGGACATTTGGGTGCAGACACACAGGAGGAAAATAACTTGAAGACACAAGAAGATGGCCATTTCCAAGCCAAGGAGAGTGGTGTAGACACAGCCTTCCTCCACACCCTTTGTTACAGCAGCCCGTGCAAACTCGTACACTCCACGATGTTCGTTTCCTTCTAGCTACACCATTCTATGCTTTGAAATGTTCTATAATGGCCAGTTTTAAACTGCATTATATTGTATATAAGGTAAATCTTCCTATTTTAAATGTGAAAGACAAGAGGGTGTTCAGAGGTTCAAGATCAAGAGAGGAAAAGGCTGAGAGTCAGAGCCACCTTTACCCAGCTGTGTGTTATCCGTGCCGTGGCCGGGCACTGAGCGTTGCTCACACGTGTGTCAGTGACGGTGGGTTTGCCCTTGGTCGGCACTACAGAGCGATGGTCTGCATGGTCACTGAGAGGGCCCTGCTCCATCTTTTAGACACAAGAAGACTATGTGGGGGACAGACTTTAAATACGGTGGAAAATAGAAAATCCAAAATCTCCAGAAGAAAACTTTTCATTAGAATAAGCCTGGAAAGTAAAACCTTCTACTATAGGAAACCAAACCCAAGCAGCAGTCATAGAAACAAACGCCCCACACTGTGCCCTGGGCACCCTCTGTCCCTGAGGTAGCTCAATCATCTTCCCAAGTCCTAGAATGATGGTACAGGACCTAGTGCACATTGGGTGTCCAGGAACTTACTTATCATACAAAGCATAACAAACACATTTTATTAATAAGTTTAAGTGAGAACTTATAGCCTAAACACAAGAGCTTGAAAAGATAAAATAGAACTTTATTAAAACAAGTGAAATGGGGGTGTGTTGTGGTTTAGGTCTAGACAGCCCCCAAAGCCTCACACGCTCAGAGATGGAGCTTCTGGAAGGTGATGGGATCACAGGGCGCTGTGCTCATCAGTGGATTATCCCACCCTGG